TGCTGCAGATAGTGCGGCAGTTGCAGACGCTGGGGGACATCCTGAAGGCAGACAAGGAGGAAGCTGTTACAGAAACACCGCCCACAGTTCCAGCAGCCGCCGCAGGGGATCTTCAGTCCAAGGCCTCAGGCGAGGGCTTGGACGGCAGCGCTGCGCGCAAGCCAAAAGGTTTTGGCGGCGGCTTTGGCTCTGGCAAAGCGCGGCGAATGTCGGCCCATGGCAGAGAGCGGCAGACTGTCGGTGCGGGCTGTCAGCTTCTTTGTGCCCTTTTTCCTTATCTTTAGACTTAGGAGGCTGGCAATTTCCTACACAGAAAACGGCTGCAGGCGCATTTACTCACTGAGATAAAAGCATCTGCACGAATGCGCGTCTCGGGCTCAACACGAGAGCAGCTTCCAAATCTGCGAAGAATCAACCCATGATAAAGCATTGCAAAAGTTGTGAACATGCAATTATGCAGGCACTTTTGACTGGAAGGGGTATGTTTACAGGTTCAGCGGAGGGCGTACGAGCAGCAGTTTCAGTGCGAGTGCAGATCCTTCTGCCGCTGCTGCCAGTCGTGTACGCAGACAGGGAGGCTGATCGCTCTAAGAACCTGCGCTACTGCTTGGCTCGGGCGCTGCTGCCAATCCTGGCTTCGTCCCAACTGTATAGCCCACCCAACAGGTGCAGTTCACACCCTGCAATCTTGAGGCACGAGTGCATGTCTGCTTGCATTGCTACTCAGTTGCAGAGCAGAAACGAGACGCGGGTAGCCCGCCCAATGCTGCAGAAATGCTTGTCAATGTGAAGGCACCAGGACATGGCCTGCCCAAAATCGATGGTGAGAAATCATATTCGAGCCTGGGGAGCTCGGAACATTGGGAATTTCACAAGTCTATGATTGGAAGAGACTCGGAACTCTCCTTGCACATGATACAAGATGCTTGTGCGGACCATCTGTAGTTGTTCCAGGGTGATCTGAGTGGCAGACTCATGCGCAGGGCTGTTGCCATGGCTGAGGAGCAAGCAGATACACTCCTTGAGCAGCTGCTGGCCATGTTACATGCGCTGCTGGCACCAGAGTGGGCAACCTGGCTCCGTGGCAACCAGGTAAGGCCTCAGAAGCCAGGATTTGCCGCTGCCCTAATTGGGGCAGTTTCTCATTTGCAATCGAGGATACATTGGCCTGCATGCCATGTCAATCTGCTTTTGCTTGCTGACAAACACTTGCTTGACTCACTCTGGCCATTTTTAGGTAAGAAAACTTCACAGAGCTGACGATTCATGTGGGACTTTTGGCAGGAGAAGCTGCGGGAGGTGCCGGCGTACGATGATGCGGCCGGCTTGCATGCGGAGATTGCTTTGCTGGCACCCCCTGCATGGGTCCGGGAGGCAATGCACAGCGCTCTGCGCACCATTCCCAGCTTGAAAATCTCCACGCCATCAGCTGCACCATTTGTGGACTCGTCTGTCTCTGCGCCTGCGCCTGCAAAGCCGCCGCCGGGATCTGCTTCAGGACGCAGAGAGGACGGCGCTGTTTTGCATGGCAGGCAGATGGAGAGTCAGATTGATCCGTGGTTCTTTGACGGCGGCTTTGCTGGTAGCACGGGTGCAGCTGGCTCTCGGAAAGTGCAGCGCTGGCTGCGAGGCGCTGTGAGACGACGCCCGGGGTGGAGTGGAATTGGACAGCAATAATCACAGGCATGGGGAGCCCATGAATTGTTTGAACCTACCTGATCAAGAAATGCGAGAACTTGATTGAGAACAATGAAGATTCGGAATTGGGAAATAAAAGGAGGGAACGCCTGTCGTGGAGGTCAAAACTGACTATTCACATACGGGTCTTTGGATAGCAGTTGCCAATTGCTGTGTATCGAGGCAACATATCGTTTGTAAAATCTCTTGAACTGATGAAGGCAGTGTAAAGAAGAGGATGGCGCTGATCGCTGACGAAGACGCCCTTCGATCCTTTGACAGGTAGGACCTTGAGGACATCGGAGGATTCGATGGCTTTGTCATTTATTGATTGTTGTTGCAAAAGCAGAGGGAATTTCATGACACTTTCTTACTAGAAAGGGGCCCATCAGGACGACGACAACAAATTGATGGACACAGCATTGACGTGCAAAACAAAGCAACACTCAGACGTGTTCGCGGATCGATGACGTGTGCATTGCTACTGTACAGGATTCCTGATGCAGAAAAGAAGCTCACACCGGCCCTGCGTGGAGTCCTGGCCGAGATTGCTACAACGGGCACCATCAGGTACGGACTCCCAGGAACAGGTTGGATATATTTGCGAGTCGTATGTGCCCCAAGATTTCTTATCATTTGCTTTCCTACATGCAATCTCCAACAGGCGTGATTGTGTGTATCTTCGAACAGGTATGAGTGGACCTTGCTCCAGCCCCTGGTGAGCCACCTGCTGTCCCAGGTCCTCCTCGACTTTGATGCAATCTCCAAGGTATGCTTCTATCTTGTGCTCCATAATCCATAGACAGCAAGAATCTGCTTTGTCTTTGTTGTCTGCTTTGTCAAGCACCCTGACAACATATTGCAGCCAGGAAAGCACTCCATGGCGCACAATGATCATCAAATGCCCAGCATGCTGAAGAAACATATTCTTGCTCGATATTTAGGGTTTCTGCGTTTCCCGTCATTGGGTTAAGGTGTTGCTTGCCGTACCCGTCCTTCAGTACTGTAAAACCTGTAATGACTACAAAAACCCCAGTGCCACTTAAACCCTCGCTCATGGCAGGTGGAGGTCGGCCCGATGCCGCCCCCGGCCAATGGGGAGGCCACTGAGCAGATGATAGAGCGGCTGACGCGGGCGGTGCGCGCTCACAGCGGCGCGGCCCCCTTCACTCTGCAGCGCCTGGCCGAGCTGCTGCTGGAGCCGCAGAAGCAGTACTCCCGCCTGGACAAGCTGGTGTGCTCACTTCTGTCACCCATTACTCTTCAGACAGGATCATGGGGGTGATTGAGTGATGCAGACAAAATGGTACTGTGTGTGTTGTGGTGCTTGTGGCCTTTTTTTTGCCAAGGATCTGAGTCCTCGGCAGGTCCTGAACTTCCTTGTTGGCGTGCGAGAGAGCGTTTGCGCTGATTTTTGCTTCTGTTGGTCAAATCAGTCCTCACGCCATTGGATGTGTTGTAATGGCAGCAATAAGCAGTGACCCTGGCGAATTGTGCGGTGCAGGCACTGGCTCTTGAGAAGCTGCTGCTTGTGACGAGCACGGTGGCAGCGGCTAGCAACCCGCCGCCGCGGCCGGCGATAGACTCTCTGCCGTCAGTCAATGACAACCCCAAGCCGCCACCTGGCAGGTGAGCAGCAGTCTTTCGCATTCATAGTAATGGCGGGTCATGAAGGTCGGACGAACCTGCTGTCGTTTCTTCTAGCTGGGTGAATTTCTGCCGCTAAAACTTTGTCAACAATTGTCAGCAACCAAGAAATTCACAGGTATCCTGCCTAGAGGGGAATTGACGTGTCTTGCTGCTGGGGGCATGCGTGGCTGAAGGACTGTGCGCATGCAATGCAGCTCGACCACAAAACCAGGAACTCTGCCGGCGACTGCCAACGGTCCGCACGAGCGCACACACATGCCTGGCAGCGGCTTCAACCTGGCCAGCGCTGCGCTGGGGACTCTGACTGCCGGGGCCGCATCACAGTACCTCCCAAACACTCAGGTGAACTATTTGCACAGCTGCCTTTATTCAGCGCATGTCTGTCGAGGGTGCCTACAAGATGCCTTATATGCCCCATCGCGGGGACTGTCACTCTGCGCATTGTATAAATGAGGGTAAGGCTTTGCTGGTTGCAAATGTGCCGAGGCAAATGTGATACATGGTGGCAAGACTGCCTAAAGGCCCATCCTGCCGCCACAAGATCTACCTGCCTTTAGCTGCATGTTGCCATGAGGAAGAGTGCCTTGTAGATGACTGTCTGAACCTTTTTGGTGCTTTGATGCGCAGTCGCCCGCAATGGCAGCAGACATTGACAGGCTGGGAGACAGCTCTGCACCTGTGGTGACGCCAGCTGTTGGGACGTCCTTCATCTCTGAGAGCAGTCAAAGCGCTGCTGAGCCTGATTTGGGCGGCCAAGCTCCACCGGTAAATGTCCTGGAAAATGGCAGCACAACTGTCCCTGATGATACGCCGGAAGAGGGAGCAGCAGGAGCGCAGCATGCAGGGGTTGCTGGAGGACAGGAGTCTGACAAGTCTGAGCCAGACAAGTCTGAGCCAGACATCCGATAGTGGGCTTTGATTACTTGCGTGAGGTTCTTGCTGCAGGCAGACTGGTGGAGTTGTCCATGTAAAGTTGTAAACGTGTTTGTTGCAGCTGTTGATGAGTCATTGAATTGTCAAGGCGCTGCACACTGCTGCGGTGCTGTGACAGTCACTGTCATACGGTATTGTGGCAGGCTTGCCAATTCAGATTCTGAACCTCAATCATGCCCGCAATGGGTGTAAGAGGCATTGCGATTGCGATTGCGCTCTTGGGGCTCTTCCCCCTCACAGTGGTTTTCTTTCTGCGAACCAACCAGCAGGACCCCTGAAATGTGCTCATGGAGTCATGGGAACTGTTGCCAGCACGTGCGAACATCACTTCACGTGTACCTTTACTTTGGCTGGATCTGACATTTGATGATATCCCTGATCGACAAATAACGGGAAGTTGCAAAATTGAAGACTTCTGCAAAAGATCCGCGCGCAGCCTTCAATTTTCGCTGCTTGTCTTTGTAACCGTCTCCAACGCAAATCCTGCCTTGTGTCCGTAATAAAGCATTGAGAAGGCATCGAATAATTTCTTGAGAGTCTAACTGAGATACTTGTGTACCGGTAAGGCTCCACGGGCGGCTGGTTTTACGACATCGAAGGTATAGATCTGTTCATCTTGATTCTCGGATTCCCTATGTCAACAAGCAAATAACAACTCTGAAAGCGCGCAGAATTTACATCAAGGACATCTAAGACCTCGTTATTCTGGCCCCAGCAGTGGAGGGCAGAAAGCAGCAAACATGGAGAAGAAGCGTTTGCTCATCAGCAACGACGATGGGATCAATGCACCTGGCTTGCAAGCCCTTGTGGCAGAGCTAGTGAGGCAAAATTTCTGCACTGTGTGCGTGTGTGGGCCGTCTGGGGAGCAGTCAGGCCAGAGCCATGCCATAACTCTAGGTCGGCCCCTGGCATGCTTCCCAATCAACGTTCCTGGAGCCCAGCAGAGCTTTGCGGTGGGATTTTCCTGACTCTCCCCGCTTTCATTACCGTTGCACAATCCTGGTGTACCCAGCGTGCACTGGATGAAAGCATGCAGACTCACAATGTGTGATGCTTCAGGTGGTTGGGAGTCCGGCGGACAGTGTTATGCTGGCCCTGAATGGGCCCATCTTTGAGGTGCGGCTTAATAACTAAATGCCCTTTGATGTCCTCTAGTAATGTGGTTTGGTGGTGATGTCGATGCGACAGTGATGTGCTGTTGATGCTGTACCTTCACAGGACAGAAATTTTGACCTGGTCATATCTGGGATCAATAGAGGGGACAACTGCGGCTTGCATGTCATCTACAGTGGCACAGTGGGAGCCGCTCGAGAAGCCGCGTGCAAGGTGGGACCTCTTATGAAATGTCACGTAAGGGAATCTGTACCACTTGTGGTGGCATATTTTTGCTCATTGTCACATGAATAATGGATTCTGCGCAGGGTGTGCCCTCTCTCGCAGTCTCTTTGGACGATGTGCGGGCAAAGTCTGCAGCCGACTATGCGGCAGCATCTGTCTACACCGTAGCTCTTATAAAGGTAGGAATGCTTCCTCTGGGTCTGACTGCCTGTTGTTTGAATCATTAGATCTCTGTTTTGAGAAGCCATTCCTTTACAGATGATAGCAGATAGGCACCTAGGCAAGGTGACGTTTTTGAATTTGAACAGGCTGTGCTTGGGCTGCTGGAAGGCACGGACGCCTCCTGGCTGCAGAAGATGACCGGCTGCATCATCAATGTGAACGTGCCAGCTGGACCTCTGCAGTCCATCAAAGGACTGCACCTTGCCCACCAGGTGCCGGCCCCTTCCTGCACCCATACATGCCATCTCACAAGGTGCAAAAAGTTGGGATGAATGTTTCATTGCTGCACAATCTTCACGTGCCCTGCAGCCCTTCCTTTTATTCCTGGCGCTTGCTTTGCCTCGATTTCTACATCTCAGTCATAATGTAAGAACTGCACGACCTGTGGATATATTCTGATGCGGCGGTACTGTCTAGAAAAAGGCACAACCATCACTGTAGGACGGCAATTGGTTTGACGGTAGTCTCGATGGCTGTTTTTTTAATTCAACTGCAGGGGGCTGCATGCGTGTTCCCGGCATTCAGGGAGATCTTTGAGGAGGTGCCACAGGATGAGGGGGCAGTCACCAGCACAGTCATCACCATGCCGAACACTCGCTCCTTCCGCAATGCTGCCGGTGACATGCGCTGGTGCGTATGCCCATGAGCCATGATTTTACATCCATGTTGTTTCTACTTAAGAGTCTCCCGTACTGATTTCCCGGTGCGACCTGCATGGGTAAACGCCTGTGGCCGCAACTTGTGCCGACCCTTCTGTTGTGCCTTATGCTGTTTCATTCTGTTGTCTGGCCCCGCAGCATGTAAACCCCCTGAATATTGAAAGGGGTGAGAACCAGGAAAAAATGGTGTGCAGGGACATGACACCTGGCGCGGACACGTGGGCAGTTCGCGAGGGCTGGGCATCGGTGACGCCCCTCGGTCTGCGATCGGACATGCCTCTTCAGGTGCAGAGCACTTGCAACTCCGATAATGACGAGGAGAAAATGGTGCATCTACTAGCTTGCTGTGCCCGACTTGGGTCCTTGAATTTTGTCACTTGTATATGCTAAGCTACAATGAAAGGGGAGCAGGCTCCTGGGAGAATGAGTCTCCTAATTTCCATCATGATTCCATCCTAGCTAGTACTGTGCCAGTAGCACATGAGGCATGCGAAGGCTTAGGTGGAAATCGGGCCGTACTACTCGTAAGTACGGGGCAGTCCGGGGAGATGCCATGTGTTCAAAGGTTTATTTGTCTGCGCAGGGGATGATGAGACAGGGTGGTGCACATGACGTGGACTCCAGTTTTCCTGAGCTCTTGGGCGCTATTGTGAAGACGGCGGCCTTGGCACTGGGAGTAGAAGCGCAGGGCTGCAGCCGGCTATGATTAATTGCATTCGTGTGACAACATTTGATATTTGAATGGACAACATGCGCCGTTGTTGGGAATGCATATGCCTGATTGCAGTTGCCTCTGTGTTTTTGCATGCGCTGTTCTTGCAATTGCCATGTCAATCCTAGTATCCTGAATATCTTTCATCATGTGCATAACAGACCCCTCACTGTCTGCACAACGTGTCCACTGTATTTACAACAGATTCAGGTTCAATGGCGCGCAGAGCAACATCAGAGCAAAAAGAAACCGTGAACAGAGCAAACAGACACACACACTTTTGCACGATTGTCATTCGAGTCCTCAGAGTTTCCTTCATTCTGTTCATGCCCTTCCATGAAAAAACCCAACTTCAGAAGTATTGACTACCGGAAAAAAGGTCTACGCAGCATATAACCTTGAGACAATAGAGGGGCGACAGGAATGGTGCTGTCAAAACTTTTTTCAGTCTCATGCCTGCATGCAAGGCAACTGAGGCATTTCCAGATAGAGCAGGATGCTAGCCTGGTCCAAGGTATGGGCCATCATGGTTGACGGCTCCCATATTGCCGGCACAAATTTTTTGAGAAATGCATGCCCCAAGGGTCATAACACTGGTGCTCACAACCTGAAGACCGGCATATGAAGCAGTGATTGAGATTGCTACGTCTTTGCTTAGAACAGCACACCTGGAACTTCCTGTCATATCTTCTTGCCCACAACCCGCAAAAAACAAAGGTATGGAGCTGGCCATGCTGCCTCTGGCTGTCAACAGGCTGTGTAAATGTCTGAGCCCGTCCCATCAAAGAAAGTCGTGTGCCATTATGTGAGGATGCTGCCTCAGGCGGTCTACTCTCGAGGCTGTTGCTGCTTTGCCGGCTTCTCGAAGTAAGCGGGCGCCAAAGCCTGCTTCAGAGCTCTAGAGGCGCCAAGCTGGCCGCCGCTGCCCTTTCCCGCATTTTTTCTCTCAACGGCTGCGCTGCAGCCTGCCTCAGCCGGGCCCAGGCCTGGTGGCGCTCCACTCAGCTCCCCGGAAGAAGCATCCTTGGACTTCTGTGCACCGTTGATAGCGCCCTTGCCCTCCTTTGCCTTCTGCGCGGTTTTCCTTTGCCTCTGGCTGTGCGGCGCTTCTGGCTGCGCATCATTGGTTGGCATTCGAGCATCTGCCTGCGCATTTTCCTGGGAGGATCCATTGGCATCCGCGCGGTGCCCCTTCTTCTCCCTCCTGATTGGCTTCCTTGCTTGGGTGGTCTCTGCCGGGGGGGCGTCAGACTTCGCAGCCGGCTTCGCCTTCGGAGCCGGGGATCGATCCTTGTCAGCCCGTGGCACTGCGGCTGTCTGCGCGCCGACCAGTGACCTGATAAGGCCGATGCCTGGCCGCCTGCGCTGCTCATCTTGCCTGGAGGCACTGCCAGAGTCAAAACCAGGAGGCACTTCCTTCAAAGCTGCCGGCACCGTCTGTACCGCCACCGCTCGCCTGTCACCGCTGCCCTTCCTCCTATCCAAGCCTCCGCTGGCATCTGCAGATTCCCTCTGCGCGCGCTTGTGCGCGGCCCCCTCTTTGCGGCGCGAGTCCCTGTCTGCTCTGCTGGGCGACGACCGCTGCGCAGCTCTGTCATGTCTTTGCACTTCTGCGGTAGCTCCTGTTCTGCTTCTCCTGCCGGGCGCGCTCTCTGCCTTTGCGTCCCTGCTGACGCTGTCAGGCTCCGCAGATGACGCGCGCCTTGAGAGCTTCGCAGGCGCCCTGATCAGCACACAGGAGAAAGTGAGGCTCTGGCAGAAAATTGCGCCAATATGACGGGTTCACCTCAGACATTGTCACGACACTTTCACTTATTGCGAAACTGATAGTGCCTTATTTAATAGGCCATACGAATAGCTGTTCAGAAGCTGAGAAATGAGTAATGAGAAGTGTAGAATTGCATACCCATTTGTGGATTTTGAGTCCTTGCCAGGAGTCTTGCTGGTCCCACTGGCTTGCGCCGAGTTCCTTCCTGCTTCTGCATTGGAGTGCTGAGCCCGCTTGGAGGCAGTCGAGGCATGATCAGGCACCTGCTGACGGGCCCTGCTGCTCTTGTCAGCTGCCTGGACAGGCACTGCTCGAGGTCGCTCCCCTTCTGACTTGCCAGATTTCTTCAGCTCCTGCACACAGGTATTGCAAGCTTTGAACAGTGGACAGCGCTTTAAGACGATTCCATCTTGCTGCAAAAATGGAGCGCAACCAAGCTGGGGACTCAAGTGTGTATACCAGCTCCTGCTTAAGATATGGAGCAATGATTAAGCCATGTCGACAAGCACATTCATTAGAACCAAATGAACGGTTGCCAAGCTGTATGGCTGCCAAGCTGTTGAGTCACGGACTTGTACCTGCTCCAGGGAGGAGGGCTGGCCCAGCTGGGGAGGCGGCCGGTAGACCTGGAAGCCCAAGCGGACCTTCTCCCTTGCTGCCTCAAACTCCTCAGCACTTGGGTGATCTGCCACGCATGCACACCATTTTTTCCTCTCAGTCCTCCACATTGGCAGTTCAGCTCTAGCACCTTTATGATAAGTCAAGCACCATTCGTGGCTTTCTGCGGAGGTTATTGCATGCAAGAACAAGTGGCGCCCGCAAAGGTCTCGAGGCCAATCGACCCTGATGGGTTGGTGCTGATTACTTCTGGTTTCATTCATCACCCCGTCTCTCAGGGGCATTATTATACACATTCCACCTCAGCCAAGTGATCAGGACTTGGAGACTATTGCATGACGTCATGCGCAGTGAAGACATACAGTTCGCACCTTGCGGAGGGTCAGGCTGCGGTGAGGCGGTGATAATCTGGGGTGTTGGCAGGGATTGGCCGCCCCAGCCGCTGATGGCTGAGTCGTATGCCCACCCGGCCGGCGCTGCTGCGGGCGCATGCCGCTCAGCTGCCATGGGCTCCAGCGGCATTGGTGGCCCTGGACGATACTTCCTGATCAGATGATGCACTGTAGAACAACTACGGTTTCTTTCTCAAACCTGATAGAAAGTCATTCATGGAGGATCAGACAGGGCAAATCAGCCTGAAGACTCGAGTGATCATGTGATAATCTTATGACAAGACAGCGTGAAGTGACGTCTGTTAGCCATGGCCTCACCGGTGCCAGGGTGGGATTGCACGTAGACAGGCACACCCAGGGCAATGCCATCATAGCCGATGGATGGCACTCGCATCTGCATGGGCTGCTGCTGTGGTTGCTGCGCTGCCTGCAATCAACCACCAAGGCTTCAAGATTCCCCTCACAGTACTTGAAGCAGAATGCGAATTTAGTGATGACTCATTTAAGCCCTGGCTCAGATGCATATTTTCACTTGTGTGGAGATAATGCTCCTTTGCCTCACAAGCAGTGCAGGAGGAGAGCAGGCACCTGACTGCTGCACTGATAGTGTTGCTCCTGCTGAGCCGCTCCATATGATGGGTATGCCAAATTTCCCCTACATCTACACAGCATCTTGGTACTGCTTCACCGTTACGGACAGCTGAGAAGTCCAGAACGTTGAAAAATGTAGCATTCAAGTCCCCTGAAGAGCACGCACGTTGGAGGAACCTGGCCGCGGCCAGAGAGGTGGGTGTTGTACAGAGTGGCCTCCAGCTGTTCATGAGTCATGGGCGGCCGGCCCTGCACGCGACGCTCTGTATAGGGCACATTGCTGCTGGTATCATGCGCGCTCGCTCGGCTGTACTCATCTCCCCTGTATTGCTCAGCAGCATCGCTGTTGTGTGTGTTGAGGCGGCTCCCAGCAGCCGCCCGCCCGGATCTGCACAGCACCCGCCACTATCAGTCACAATACTCATTACATCTACAGTGTATGCTTACAGTGCTCCATTGGACAGGCCAATCGAAGATCACTAAGGCAAAGAAAGTGACAGTGTGCACCTGAAAGAACCGCTGTAGCCAGACATCTCAGCTCTGTAATGTGAGCGTCCCTCATCTTCCACAGGTGCGGACGTTCCTGGTCCGGCAACACTTCTGCGCTGCAACACTCTCACCTGCGCAATCAGAAGTAGTGCTGACCATATATGTACCTTTGCCCTGCTGCAAGGTGAAATTATTCACAGGAGTAGAAAGAAATCTACAACTGCATGGCAACAGTGGAGGTCGCATATATGCTGTCAAGTATCAAAGAAATTATACCGTGTCTGACTGTGCGATGTCCACAGGACGGCGCCACCAGATCTTCTCTTCGGACTCGGGTACCCTGCCATGAACCAGAGGAATGAGCAATCATACAATCATCTACAGATTGTGTGAGAGTCTCTCAATTGTGCAAAATTGCTGCAAGTTGGTGACTACCTGTCATCATCAATGCTTCCACCAGCATCAATTGTTCTGGAACCCCATTCATGCTCCCTGGCATGATCCACTCTTTCTGAACGGGGCTGTTCCACCCTGCAGCAGCACAGGCACCGTGTTAGAAATCTGAGACACCATCCATGTTACTCGAAATAGAGGATTTGCAAATGTATTCACTGGATGAGAAGCATACTGGCTCCACCTCATCCCACTCTCGTCAACCTTCACACCCACTCCCCAGCGCTGCTGAAAGGGGCCAGCTTCCTTGTACGCATCTTGCCAGGACTGCTCATACTCATCTCTTTGCTGCTGGTTTCGCACCTGAACGCACAGGGATGCAGATCAATGCGTGTTCAAAGGCTCAAGTACAGCCTTACAACCTGGAGTGGTCTGGCTAAGTTAGTGAGCGCACGATGCTGCGATAGAAGCCATGACGCGTGTCAATTCGCTGCTTGGAGATTCCCCTCTCCACTTCTATGCCCTCATGCCACACGCCATCATTCGCTCGGTACTGGCCAGTGGCCTCATCGAAGATGGGTGAGCTTGCTTCTTCCTCATCCACCTCTTCAGCCCAGGCACGCATGCGCAATCCTCTTCCTGGCATGCTGATCTAATACGTGGGCGTCGTTCGGCTAAATGTGGTGCTCTTTTGCACTGCAGGTTTCGAATGGACCGACAGCTACCCTGTCTTGATGTCCTTCAGCTGCTACCCACCCTCCATTGATGCAAGCGCCATGAAGTGGTGCAAGATCCTCGCGGGACCAGAACATCCTGGTACGGAGGCAAATTCAGGTATTGCAATGCCATCACTGGGGTTACATCTATGTCATCTGCCAGGTGCGTATCGTCATGTGCGTTCACCTCGCCCTAAATTACTTCATAATGTGCGAAGCAGATCACCTTAAGCATCGGAGGTTTATTTCGGCGGTTATATAAACATAATATATCCACTCAATAGAAATTTGTCTGATTCCCAGGTCCCCCTTCATAAGCACAGGCGTGCTGACAGACATGCACTGTAGCAGTGGTGCTGTCATTCTTCGAGAGTCTCAGGTTTTGCTGTGTTAGCACGCCAAGTCATACAAAAGATTTCAGATGCTCAGCACTGGCTGCTTGACTCCAAGGCATTGCACTCTCGGCCGAGATTTTGGACCTAGCCATAAGCAAAGATTAGCGACTCCTTACCCTAGGACGAGAATGAGCGCAGCTCCCAGCACGATCGCCCCTGAAGCAACGCAACAGCTAACTAAAGAGGACCTTGTAAAGTACTTGGCCTCTGGCTGCAAGCCCCGCGAAAAGTGGAGGTATGACAATTGCTTGATACTGTTGTCGCCCACGCTGCGGGGATTGCATGTTGGTACTGAATTGCAAATGAATAGAATAAGTACGAAAGACGCTGTCTTTCACGCCCACAACTATACTGACGCTGTGGCCTGCGGTTGTGTATGCAAGATCGTGGCTACCAGGATCCTTTGTGCAGTGCATCCTTGCTCTCCTGAAATCTATGAGGCCAGGCGAGCTGCGAAGAATTAACCAAAAAAATCGCAATCGTATTGCAAATGATTCGATGCTGAGCTAGAACTGCTGGCCGCAGGATTGGGACGGAGCATGAGAAGCTGGGCTACAACACTGCAGACAACAGCAGGATCGGCTATGACGTCATCCAGAAGCTGCTGCAGGGTCTGTGTGACCGCTTTGGCTGGCAGCCGGTGATGGAGGGCGAGTATATCATCGGTGCAGAGCTGGATGGGCAGAGTGTCAGCCTGGAGCCTGGCGGCCAATTTGAGCTGAGTGGCGCTCCTTTAGAGACCTTGCACATGACCTGCGCAGAGACCAATAACCACCTCTATCAGGTGGGTGCTCACGGATTTGATTAATTTAATCGTGCGATCAGGCTTGCTTGTCAAGAGGAAGTCCACAATTTGTGGTGATGCATTGCCAAGGGAGCCGCGACTTTGCTTCCTGCAGATGCAATGTTTCCTTTCATGCATGAGATCTCCAGCAGAGCTGACTAGGAATATTGGTTTAGGGTGAGCTCACCCAAGTTTACGCATGTGTTGTGCAGACCAAAACAATTGCGAAGGAGTTGGGGATTGGCTTCTTGGGGCTGGGCTTTGACCCCAAATGGAGGGTGGAGGATGTGCCTGTGATGCCAAAGCATCGGTATAGGTGAGCTGAAATGCTTATCCTGCAGTGCCAGTACAAAATCAATTTGGCTGTGACTGTGTGCCTTTGCATGTAGCAAGACTTCTGTTTGCTGGATTCTGTGGTTTGAAATGATGGTCTGGTTTTCCAGGATCATGCGTTCGTACATGCCAAAGAGGGGCACACTGGGCCATGACATGATGTTCAGGTCGACTACCATCCAGGTATGAATATTGCGCCACTGTTGGCTAGCATTCAGTTGTTCGCTGGTTTTGCATTACAGTATTACTACTTGCTGATATGAAGGAGTGGAGCATGATTTCTGCAGCCCGTGGTACGCGACCCAATGGTCTGCTGCTTGGTCTGCAGGTCAACCTGGACTTTGAGGACGAAGCAGACATGGTGGAAAAGATGAGGATAGGGATGGCACTGCAACCCGTTGCCACTGCCCTCTTCGCCAACTCGCCCTTCAGAGACGGCAAGGACACAGGTGTTGTGCCAGCAAGCATATCCCTGCTCGTGATGGCGGCTGTTGCTGTCCTGGAAGGACCCTTCTAACTGTTTTTGTTTTCTGCAACACTTGGTTGTACAGAAACAAACTGTTTGTGGCGCTCAGACTGCCAGCACACCCTTCTGAGTGCTGAGCTGTTGCGTCGCATGGGCAGGCTACATCAGCTGGCGGAGTCACGTGTGGACAGATGTGGACCCAGACAGGACGGGCATTCTGCCCTTTGTCTGGGACGCCGACTTTGGCTTTGAGCGCTATACGGAGTACGCGCTGGACGTGCCCATGTACTTCCTGTACCGCAATGGCACCTACGAGGATGCCACGCAGCAGCGGGGGACCTTCCGCGAGTACTTGGAAGGCCGCCTGCCCATTGCACCAGGTGCGGCGCTGATCCATGCACAACTGCAAAGTCTTCCTGTGCTAAGACACACTTACACCTGTCCTCTCCGCGACCTGCAAAGGCACACAATAGCTCTAATTGGCATCTCCGCAGCTGTCAAGCGCTTGCACCGGGTGTCGTGATCACACCTCCTTGGCTTTTGACAAGAATGCTTACCAGCAACTGTAGAGCTTTAGCTCATGATTGTCTACACAAAAAGAAATAGCTATGCATGCAGTCAATTTGGGCAGTATCTCACATAAATTATTGGCTGACTGGGAATTTGTTGTTCTGTTGAGCTGAAGGGGGGCTTCTCGTGGGCATGCAGGGCAGTACCCCACGCTGAAGGATTGGGAGACGCACCTGACCACCATCTTCCCAGAGGTACGCCTGAAGCGCTACATGGAGATGCGCGGCGCTGACGGCGGCCCCTGGGATTCTATTTGCGCGCTGCCGGCACTCTGGGTTGGCCTGCTGTACACCAGGTGGGTGCTGACTTTACTAATGCCGCACTGCACTTTTGGAACCCTTTATCAGAGGATAAGGGTGTTCTTCAGCTCTTGTAGAGGCAGCTGAGCTGACCCGCAGCCCACATCGACATGTATCCCCTGCTGGATTCTGTGCCTCTGCATATGAGTGTGTGCGGAGCGTGGCCAGTGGATTCCTTAATTGCAAAAAAGATACAGTAATCGGAGAGGCTTTGACAATGCATCTGGGCTTGTGCGCAGGGAAATCCAGACGGAGGCCTACGAGATGATTAAGGGCTGGTCTATGGAGGATCACCAGCACCTTCGTGACAGTGTTCCCAGCACCGGCCTAAAGACGCCCTTCCACGACGGCACTGTCCAGGATGTGGCCAAGCAGGTGATGCGTCAATCCCCGCTGTCTTGAAGATTCTCCATCAACTTCCATAGCTGAGTGTTTTGTCTCACCCGCCTGCTCGATGGGGTCCCTAGGCCTGGCAAGGGCACCCTCCTCTCGGGAAAGATGCCCTCAAAGCCTGTGTTCCAATCCTTCGGTTGGCCAAGCACCCCATGCATGCCAGAGCAATGCAAGGCTGAAATTTAGCCTGGGCCTTGAGGCTGATGCAAGGCTTGCACCTTGAGGCTGACTTGCAAGCATACAATGGTTACATGTCATCGGCCATGACCTGTGTGGCAGCACCTGTATTTATGTACATCTCATTGCTGAAGTCTCTGGAAGGTGCTTTACCTTGGAGCTGCCTGCTGAAGTGCTGTGATGTCACAGGTGCTGGCGCTATCGCGGAAAGGCCTGCAAGCCCGGGGGAAGGGGGAGGAATCATTCTTGAAGCCACTGGAAGTCATCGCAAACACGGGGGTCACTGCAGGAGATGCATTGAGGAAGAGGTATCATGAGGAGTGGGGTAGCAATGTGGACAACATCTTCTCTGAAGAATTCACCTACTAGTTTGTAGCCCGTAGCCCTCTGACCGTCTAGACGTTCAAAATTGGAAGTAAGATTTGCCCAATAGTATACTGATATCTGAGCAATGGGTTGGTTGTGGCACGTCTCGTCTGCTTCCGAATGCATGAACATGGGTGTGCGTTTGTGGAGAACACTATGGCTTGGCGCTCCCGCATCATTTGCATTTGCAATATTTATTGAACAAAGCGGATGCCAGTGAACATGCTTATGAAAGTATCACACATACTATCATCCTACTCTCATCATTTACACCTAGTGTTTTGGGGTTGGGGTGTCCAAAAATGGACCCCCGTTTTAAGGGTGATCTTGGGCAATTTCGATGTGCTGATCACGCCTACGAAGTCATAATTTGAAAATTCGACCTCTTTGGCTCTCTATAAGGCCTCAAACATGGTTTTAGGCTAGGGTTTGCATAGGGTTGGCTCTAGCTCCTCAAAAGGGGGGCCTATGGCATAGTGGAAAGACTTGCAATGGGACATATACATATAGGGCTTTCATTTGATGCATGTCTCACCAAAAGTTGCAATGCCGTTTTGGAGCTATCACACCTTGAAAAAAGTGATCATTTCCCTTCTAGTCTTGTGGAGCCCCTAGCTCCTCCAAAGGGGGGCCTATGATATAGTGCAAAGGCCTCCAATGGGACCCACTCACATAGAGCTTTCACATGATGCATGTCCCAGAAAAAGTTGCAATGCCATTTTGGAGGTGGCACACCTTATAAGAAATCCATAAAGACCCTGGCAGCCTTCTAGAGGCTCTAGCTCCTCAAAAGGGGGGCCTATGGCATAGTGGAAAGACTTGGAATGGAACATATACATATAGGGCTTTCATTTGATGCATGTCTCACCAAAAGTTACAATGCCGTTTTGGAGCTATTACACATTGTAAATAGTGATCATGTCCCTTATAGTCTTGTGGAGCCCATTAGGGTTTACACCTAGTGTTTTGGGGTTGGGGTGTCCATATATTCAGGGTTCAGGGTTTAGGGTTTAGGGTTTAGGGTTTAGGGTTTAGGGTTTAGGGTTTAGGGTTTAGGGTTTAGGGTTTAGGGTTTAGGGTTTAGGGTTTAGGGTTTAGGGTTTAGGGTTTAGGGTTTAGGGTTTAGGGTTTAGGGTTTAGGGTTTAGGGTTTAGGGTTTAGGGTTTAGGGTTTAGGTTTAGGGTTTAGGGTTTAGGGTTTAGGGTTTAGGGTTTAGGGTTTAGGGTTTAGGGTTTAGGGTTTAGGGTTTAGGGTTTAGGGTTTAGGGTTTAGGGTTTAGGGTTTAGGGTTTAGGGTTTAGGGTTTAGGGTTTAGGGTTTAGGGTTTAGGGTTTAGGGTTTAGGGTTTAGGGTTTAGGGTTTAGGGTTTAGGGTTTAGGGTTTAGGGTTTAGGGTTTAGGGTTTAGGGTTTAGGGTTTAGGGTTTAGGGTTTAGGGTTTAGGGTTTAGGGTTTAGGGTTTAGGGTTTAGGGTTTAG